TTGCAATCACTCTCACGTTCTTGTCTTTCAACACTTCTAACATGACGCGAGTAAATTTTCCCGTGCCACAACCGACCTCTAAGATAGTAAAAGGGCGATCTGTTTGGTTCTCTGCAGCTTTGTCATGGTTGTCCCAGTTCACACCAAGTTTGCGCAAAAAAAACTCTACTGCCTCGCGAGAATAATTGGCACGAACATTCTCGTAGTTAGAAGATGAAGCAAAGGCTTTCTGTGCCATTTTAGCCACAACTTCACTCTCACCATTATCAGTCATTTTGAAAGGTTATTTTGAACGTTTCCGCCGACAGGGCATGGAGAGGTAATTCAGTTCCGCTTATATGAACAAACTTGTGAACAAAGTATGTCTTTACCAGTCTCTTTCGCCGAACCAGATAACGCGGTCAACAAGGGTGCAACTTGTATTGCAACATTTCTGCAAAACGAGTTGAATATTATAACAATGTTGCGCGTTTTACTGATCTACCACTCATAGTGTATTGCTTGTTTCATACCCCACTACCTAAGATACTGTGTGGCACGAAATTTTTGCGGCTTCTATAAATTATTTGCGATTTCTCCAGCGATCTGCAAGTTCCCGCCAATAAAAATTACCGCAAACATTTTTCCCCGAAAATTTACTACAGAGTAAGTATTCTCTAACTTAAATTCGCTACAAAAAATACAGTACTAAGAAATGAGTGTCTGTTCAATTACAACTTGTTTCTTTCTCTGAGAAACAAAACGGTATACAGGTATACAATGAAATGCTCTAAAATTCCGAAAATAGGCCCCTCCATGAATATAGGCCCCTCAAACTGGTAACGCAAAAAACCCTCCGTAAAATATCGCCCCTCCAAATATAAGCCCCCCAGGGGCTGGTACTTGGAAAATTGCCCTCAAATACAAAGTAAAACAAAGCAAAATGGTAAATTTACTTCCAACTATAAGGCTAACCCAATCGATTTTGAAACGCAAATTTCCCTCCGTAGATAAGCCCCTCCGAACATAAGCCCCTCCAAAAATAAGCCACTCAAAAAGGGCCTTTGAAAAATATAAACCCCTGGGCTTATTTTCGGAGTTTTAAGGTAATGGTTTTACATAGGGTACGCACATAACAACGAAGATATCATCAATACTGGGTACTGGGTACCTTCTGAAAGTCGCAAAAATTTATTCCTAGCAAGAAAAACCAGTCCTTCCAGACGCTTATCCCAAAAATTAGTTCCCGCAAAACACAAAAAATCGCCAATCCACAAAAATAAACCCCCGCAAAAATTTCGTGTCATACGGTACACGTTAAAAAAAATAACTAAGAAAGTACGCGCATTCTGACTGGTTAAAAACCTATGGTTTATTGTGCCGGTAAACTAGTAGAAAACTTATAAGTTATTTCATAAAAGCAATAGACCACACTTTCCATGGGTTTACCAGCGTGATAACCCACTTGGGATGTTGGGAGAACACTTGAAAGGCTTATAAATCACTCTCCTTCAGCTTGTGATTTACAAGCTTTTCTCGTGTTCTCCTAACATCCCGCCCGGGTTATCACGCCGGTAAACCCATAGAAAGTGTGTTCTACTGTTTAAATAACTTATAATAATAATTTTTTTATTTATTATTAATATCATTGTAAATCAACCTCGTCCCCAGGGCACTTTTCCACCTTGCCCCACCTCAAAATCCAGGGAAAAGCACCCTGGGGACAAGGTTGTATTGTAAATATAATTTCAGATTCAACCTCGTCCCCAGGGCACTTTTCCCTGGCCTTAGAGTTGCATTGTAAATATAATTAAAGATTTCATTGTTGGGAGTTATATTTGAAAACTCTTAATTTTGATCCAACTCCCTTCACTTATATATCTTTGATTTTCTGTTATCTATATGCCTGTAATGTTAATAGCCATTATTTTTTATTAACCTGTGTATTTCCATTGTAAAGTGAAATAAAACCTGACTTGAATCCACACGGGCAGGGGAAATTGGGTGTGAATGCGTTAATCAAACCCCGAAAACAAAAAAAGATTAATTTTTCTTAGTACACCAGTACATGTGAAACTTGAATGGAATAGTTTCTAAAGGAATTCCCTTATCTTTAAAATGCCTTTTAGTTACATCATTAAACAGATCATGGAAATCTTTCTTATCTTTTTCACTCCCACCTGCTACCGGGGAATATGATGACAACATCTTGAAGGCATGATCAAAAGAACTTGTTCTAGAATACTTAAAGTCTATACATTCTTCTGGGTAGCTAAATAAGCCTTGTGAGAGGTCAGTGAACACTTTTCTCCACCCTTGCATGAAAGGAAAAAACAGAGCATAGTTCTCATCTAAAGTAGAAAGAAAGTTTGTTATCTCTTTCAACCATATGGCGGACATGTCATCAAGTACAACCCAAACCATGCCAAATGAGCCCCTTGGGGCCAGAACACGATGGAATTCTTCTAGAGCAGCACGGTTTGTAAACCAGTGGAAGCTTTGAGCAGCAATTACTACATCCACACTTGCATCAGGAAGGGCTGGAAAAAACAGAAGGAAGGATAACTTAGAAATTAACATATCAACTTATATACATGTATCAAAAATTGTCATCTTACATTGCAACCATTTTTTAAGGACTTTCAAAGGACCACCTACCAAGAAGGTAATTTCACAGATTGTACAAAAATGCACATTCCAGTCCATTCTAAAGGGACTTTAAGGATTGAACTTTTTGCTCCACCAACTGCTCTAAATTTTTCACTTCACTTGTCTTAAATGACTTAAATTGCTAGTTAATTACTGAAAAAAAAAACAAAGATACTTTAGGTAAATCACATTTAACTAATTTGCTGAGCTATGATTTATATTCTGTCTTGGACGACCAAAAAGCATTAAAAAACACTTTCCAAGCCAATACATTCAAAGTTACGAACATCCAAGGACTATTCAAGGACTTACACAGAAATTTAAGGACATTTCCAAGAAAAAATGGAAATATTCAACAACAACAACAATATACAACAATATATTTTGTTCGCGATCCATAAAGTTGTAACAATACTTTATACCCCGCAAATAGCTATAAAAATTATAAATAAAGGCGTTATTAAATTACACATTAAGAAAAAAGGAAAAGAAAAGAAATGCAAGTACAACACACAGTAAGAAAAACCCCTCACACAAACTCAAGCACAGGGCTTTTGTTACTAGAAAAAAAGACTAAAATTACAACTGGAGGTATATACAACGTATCAGGTTAACTTCTTAAATATTCTATTAAATAAGTAAGAAGGACTTTTCAAGGACTTCCCCAAAAATTCATGACTTCAAGACTGTGCAAACCATGTATTAATTTGTAAAGGCCCATAATGATTGGTCCTTATCAAATATAGACCACAAAAGTATTGTTCCCATCTCCTCTCTTAGAGAGAAGGAAATGGGAAGGTGACGGTGAAATAGGTTCCTGTATTTTAGGGTAGTTATTGGAAATTCAGGCCAAGTAGGTTGTTAATCAGCTTAATACTTTTTTATTGAGGAATTTTTCCCGACTTTATTTGTAAAAACAACTGATTTTCAGGTTATTTTTAATTTTTGAGCAGATGTGTACAATTACCATATTTGGAGAGTATGGTATAATTAACAATTATTCCTCGAGCCTGAATGGGCTCTGAGTCAATAGCCCATGAGGCCGAAGGCCTCATGGGCTATTGACTCAGAGGCCATGAGGGCGAGAGGAATAATAATATTGTTTTAGTAAAATCCAACTAGTTGGTCAAAAATATTAACAATAAAAAAAGATTTAGCTAGGTAAAAGCTAGACTTTAATCCTTTTTTGCCACCAAAAAGCGCGCACTTTTTGCTACTAGTGGGCTATAACATACAGTCAAACCCCGCTATTTCGAAGTCCCAAGGGAAATGGAAAAAAGTTCGAAATAGTGCGGTTTTAAATAACCGGGGAAGCGTAAAGGGGAAGGGTAAATCCAAGGGAATTCGATCTTCCTTCGAAATAGCGGGGACTTCGAATTAACCGAGTTCAAAATAGCAGGGTTCGACTGAATAGCCTAGTAGTAGCTCAACCAATCAGAACGGAGCATTGATAATACACCACTAGTTGGATTTTACTAATGGCTCATATACCATGATGGCTAAGCTAATCAGAGCTGTAGAATTGCATTATCCAATGATACAATTTTAATAATACACATTAGGGAAAGGCCTGTAATTCCCTGCTAGCAGAGGCCTTGGAGGCCCTGCAAGGGCTTTAGTATCAAAAAAATGGAGAAGGTGGCAAGCAATTCAAAAGAGATGAAATGACATGTAAGATATCGTTTTTGTGCACAAAACATATAGTTTTAAGCAGCTTACGTATATTCTCAGCTGGGCATTGGATAATTTCCGTATCAGGCACCATAAGTTTTAACTGCTCACACATGCTTTGCAGTGGCTCACTTGCAATCACTCTTACGTTCTTGTCTTTCAACGCTTCTAACATGACGCGAGTAAATTTTCCCGTGCCACAACCGACCTCTAAGATAGTAAAAGGGCGATCTGTTTGGTTCTCTGCAGCTTTGTCATGGTTGTCCCAGTTCACACCAAGTTTGCTCAAAAAGAACTCTACTGCCTCGCGAGAATAATTGGCACGAACATTCTCGTAGTTGGAAGATGAAGCAAAGGCTTTCTGTGCCATTTCAGCCACAACTTCACTCTCATCGGCCATTTCTGAAACGTGGGCTGTGCCATTAAAAAAAACACCAAAGTTTGAAAGTATTTGATTTCAGTTAAATTTTAGTTAGGCTTACATGAAAGAATAACTTAAGAATGTCCAAACCAGTCTTCTTTCGGCCCGTGTAAGCGTCGTCTCAGTGCTTCTTTGAAGTAGACATACTGTAACCTTACAGTGTGCAAGCAAAATCCAATTCCATCAAGGCTTTTGACCGCGGAATCAAAACTCAGACGTAACTATACCCTTATTCTTTATTTATTGGTATACTTTTGGTGTTATTTTAGTATTAATTATGACAGTGCATTTAGTTTACACCGAGTGTTCTGGTAGCTGTCAGAGACGGTTGTCGATTCTGTTTTCTTTTTCTTTTTTTCTTTGCTCTCTACTATCAAACTGATAGGATTCCCTTTTCATTTGAATAAAGATATGTTTTCATCAGTTAGGTAATTTTCGTCCAAACTTTAACCCCATTACTGGCTGCCACTGCCAAGAATATTCGTGGAAGTTGTGCTTTGACGTTTTGCTCATTTGTCAATTGCATGGAAAGTGTTAAGGAGAATAAATGTAAGCTTATTACGAGTCGTTATTGTGCCAATCCAATTCAGTTCAGCTCTAACGTAGGCCTAAAGTAGGTTTTGTATACAGACAACTCACTCTGAGGTGACATCACTAACTTGTCTCTCCGCTTGTGACGAAAAATTCAGTACATACATTAACTTCTTGTTTACTAATGCACCTATCAATGTTACATGTGGAGGTGGGGAAGGCTAGGCAAAGGCTGGAGATTTGAACTTGAAGCTTGCATTTTTCAGGTCAAATGTCCTACCCCAGGGACATCATATTTGGTCAAAAGGGAACAAAATCTCCACTTCTCCATCAACGACTAGATGTTAAACGTGTTTCATTGAAAGCAGTGATTTTGTTACCCACAGATCCCAGGGGAACACACTTTTGGCTACCAATTGCCCCTGGTAATGCAACTGGTAACCAACTGGTAACAAGGTCTTTTACAGGGCATTTGTTATCGGAGGAAATTCAAAAGTCCCCACTCCCGGAACTCCCATTGTGGGCCAACTTCCTTTGTCAAATCTGTCCACTTTGCCTGGCCTCCCTCTTATCCAGATTAACATTGATAGATGCATAACTGTCTTGTTTTACTAACTTTATTGTTGAAAAAGTTGCAGGAAATTAAGTGCTAAAGAAATAAAGATGTCTCATGCACCAGCTAAAATAGTCCTCAAGAGCACAACTACCAAGACGCTGAATGATCGGTGAGCAATCCGCCATGCACCTAATTAAATGGACATGGCATTGTTGTACCTTTATCTGGCTTCATGCTTGTCATCTTATTATGGCATGAATATTACAGTTATAAGCGCTTTATAAGAGCAAGAAGGCCATAGAATGTTTTGGCTAGTCAAGGTATTATATACTGCCTTCGTAGTAGACAAGGCTTACATGTAAGAGCTGGTTAGAATTATTTATGGTTGAAGGTGCATGTCTTTCAGTGAAGTATGCAATAGCATTGAAGCCAGTAAATAATTCAAGGTACAAATTCCTCCCTTCCATCCATCTTCTGAAGCTTTACTGACCTGGCCAAAAAGCAAGTCCGATCCCCACCACAAGTGACAATCACAGGAGTTAGAAGCAACCAGTTTCAGATATCCCAAGCCAGCATGAAGAATCGCCGCCTTGCAGCTCAGATGGCCAACAGACCGGATATCCAAGCTGCCCTTGGAGGAAACTCTCCCAGCCTTAAAAGCAGACTTGGCTCACCAAACAGAGGCGGAGGAAGAGGAGGAGGTGCTAAAAGTGGAGGATTGTTGAAAAATCGGCTCGGCACTGGTAGTGCTGGTCCACTGAGAAGTCCTGGTGGTGGTGGTGGTAGATTTCGTCAGGGAAGAGGACAAAGTAATGTCCGTGGTTTTGTCGGTGTTAGAAGGGGAAGAGGTGGAGCTGTTCGTGGTGGCCGTGGTGTGCAAGGTGCTAGAGGAACTGCTCGTGGTGGGCGTGGTGTGCGTGGTGGTAGAGGGGCAACAAGGGGGCGTGGACGGGGTCGAGGCAAAGGTGACAAACCAGTCTCAAAAGACAAGTTAGACGAAGAGCTTGATAAGTATATGTCAAAAACAAAGAGTCATCTTGATGCTGAGCTTGATGAGTACATGCAGCATGCAGATGATGAATGAATAAAGAAAGGACAGAAAAAACTCTGAAACTTTGAAGGAAATAGCTGTAAAAACAAGAGAGGACATTTTAGACTGGACAGATATGTCTTTGTTGTATCCTGAAGGATCAAATTCTGGACAGTGTATACTTTTGGCCAAAAAGACCAAGTGGATATTACATGTTTGTAAAGTGAAATATTAGTTACTGGAAGCTAAACTGTAGTACAAAGGAGCAGTTGTTCTCAAGGAGAACAGAAGACATTTAGGGGACGGCTTGTTATTATCTTTCAATATGTTTTACTCTAACTTATTTAGTCTCTTCTTGATCATTTCTTTACACTTGGCATCAGTTGATTATCAAATGTGTGAAGACTTATGTCTCATATCAATTCATATTTAGTTTTAAAGCTTATTATTTTTAATATTAAAATGTTGCAAACAAGGAGATGCATTATTTAAGCATATGACACACAAAAATCAGTCTTTTGATAAACAAATTATGTTAACCATGTTATAATAATAATTACTTATTTCAGGGTTTATTCTAGAGTGTGGCCTTGGAGGATTTCCATAAATTGGGAAAAAATGCCACATAAAATTTACTTAGCCGCGTCAAGTGAGGCACAAAAAAAAATAGGCCAAAGGATAAGTACTCTTTTTTGAAATAAAGTATTCGAAAACATCACTGGCAACAACACTGATTTGACGGTGGCTCTGTAAACTTACTTTGAACTTTTATAGCCTTTTACGGTCTCAATTGCATTTCGCTTCTTCGTTTGAGTCATTATTTCACCAGACAAACATCTGGGAATTTGCAGTAAGTCAAGCCCAGGTTTTTTTAGTTGCCCAGAATGTTCCAAAATGGCATCAAAGCATCTGGCGAGTCCATCTGTAAGTTTAATTACCTTTTGGGGGAACCCCTTTCTTGGACCCCCTTTCTTGAAAAAGGGCCCCCTAAAATTACAGAAGGAGGCCCATTTGAGCCTCATTGGCCAATTATTTCTAGAATAAACCCTGTTATTTGTATTTCATGAAATGGATTTACTTTGTGTAGTTCCAGAAAATATCCATACATTGTCTCTTTGCCATGAGAGGAAATTTTTTCTAAGCCCCCCCCCCCCCCCCCCCCCCC